ATGCTATAAAGACACTGACAGGCAATTACAGTAGGCAGGAAAAAGCAAAATTATAGAGCACACAATGTTGACGTTTGGAATGGTGCTTCCATGGTTCAGCCAGCAACAAAAAGAGAAGCAGTGTGAAAGGGATGTTGTGCAAGTGTGCTGTCAGTTATCCATCAGTGACATGATTACATCCCTTCCCTTGAGAGAGACAGACAGAGATAGTGAGGATGTAGCTGTGTATTTAAAAAAAAAATCCCTCTTAAAGCGAGCTGGTCTGGAACACTTCCTCAGCATGAATTGATACTGTAACAGAATTCAAATACAGTCAGACTTGTCATAGTTAGTAAAGTATGAGCTAAGAGTGTGTACGGAGTGAACGAGCTGACAAAACAGCAGCCTATAGTGCTCATATATTACCAAATAGCTACAAGGATGCTTTGGGGACCCTGGAAGTAGACTGAGCAATTTATCCCAAAAAACCTTCCCACACTTTTTCCATACATATGACAGCAGTCCCTCGGTTTGTCTTGACAGCAAGTAATGACAGATTGAGCGCATTAAATCACTGATCTTTTCTCATTTCTCATATTTTATATAGCTAATCAAAATGCAGCACTTGTTAAATTATTAAAGAAAAGACAAGGACGAGAAGCAGAATGTCATGGAAGGTTAGGTATTCTTTGATTTCTCCCTTCTTAGGCAAGCACTGTTCACTATAAGAATCTAGCCTTTCCTCAAGTATTATTGATCTAGTTGAAGTGGTTCTGTCTGCCCTCCTCACCGCTGAACCGCTTCTGAAGCGAGGCTATTTGCCATCAAGTCTTTGTGGACATGTGCCATGGGATCTTCATTCACTGCACAATCCTCATTTTCAGTACTTAATAAGTTTTGGCCTCGGTTTTTGTTGCAGCCGAAAGATGTGCGCACACACTCAGACACACACACACACACACACACAAATGGGAGGGCGTAAGGTAGCAAAACAGGGATCTAGAGACTAGTGTGGGGAGGTAGCTGATTTCCCTGGTGAGCTTATATCTGAGCTGTCGTCACCTGTCTCTTCTGTGGGATAGAGGCGCCTTAATCAGGAACATGAAAGTGTCTCCTGTGGTGCTGCCTCCTGTCTCTGTCACTCGGTTGTCTATTACTTGATTTTCCATCGCCAAGTGTATACACAAATTTTTTTGTGTCCAGTATGAGAACTCTTAAATTCACATCAAGCCTGAGACGAGTTATTTTGGGTAGGTGTAGTGAATTAGAATACAGTTTTATTTAAGTCAGATCTTCTGTTTGCCCTACTGGAGATCCATCAGTTTGACGCATTATTTCTATTTGAAGTCTCCAACTTTCCAACAATGGAATTTCATATGTTCTGCATCTGTGAGTGGTGTTGACAGTAGTTATTACATTGCACAATCTATATTGAGTTCTGTTTTTTATAACAGTTTAAAACAGTTTGTTCACCATTTCTCTCCAAAACATTGCTAACTTTACAGTGCAGGGTAACATACTGTAAATATATAGAGATGTTCCAATACCATTTTTTTCCTTAAACTCATGATTTCACTATCCTAGGACAAAAATGGTGAAAGGGACACACAACTTAATTATTACTATTTTTTTCACATGCAGCAGTGGGGTCTGTGGGACCCCAAACATTAAGAGGGTAAAGTAACAAAAAAAAAGGTCTGTCTGTTAACCCTTTTCTTCTGTTGCCACCTCATCATATAGACAACTGTTAGCCTTTTTCTGTATGCACAGTGTGTGTGCATGTGTTTGCCAATGTGAAGTCACACTGTTCACCTACTTTTGTTGCGAAGGATTACCTTATCTCAGTAAGCAGCAGGAGCTTTGTCTTCTGTAACTCAACATGTGCGATTAGTTCTCATTGTGTAGCAGTGTAATCTGTTCAGATAAAGCCTTTTCCTTAATACAGACTCTTTTAAAGTTCTCAGAGAGGCTGAACACAGCTTTATTTGAATATTCAAAAATGCCTATTTGAATTTGAAATGTAAGGAGTCTATTAAACAGGAAGTTTGATAACCTTTCCAACACAGCAATGCTTGCAGTGAAACCTGAATATAACTGACTGTTGTTATTTAACAATTGTAAGATTCAGCAGAGAAGGATGTGCAGAACTCTCTCCTGAGAAGTTTGGTTTTCAACACAGAGAGAACATACGTGGACTAGGTTGCCAACTAGACAAAATTTGGATGTTTCCTCAACCATTAGAGTATTCTGGCACCAACACAGCCAGGTGTAGCACATAATCTAGATACTGACAGATTATTTTTGGCACTCTAAACAACTCCAAAAATGAAATGTAGCAGGGTATCATCAGATTTGACACATATGCAAAACATGTCCCCATGTCTTGCACAGAGGGCTCATTAACTGCCTCCCCTTAATAGATTCACAATGTCTCCATTTTCCTTTTTCCGCCCAGCGTGTGCAATCTTTTCTGCCTGGACCAGAAACCTGCATGCCTAGCTGAAGCCCGTTCAAGCATGAGAGTCAGTTTCATTAGATTTACATCAGAAAGACAAAACAAGGGAGTGTGGGATGGCTACATGAGCGTGCTGTGTCCGCACTAGCAATCTGCATTACCATTTCAGGTGGATCGGACTGATGTACACCACAGTTGCCAGAATCTGGATGTGAGCAAGACTCTGTGAAATGTGGGAACACATTTACAGTCCAGCACACTGCCCATTTTATGCTGGGCCTGTAGACGATCAAATAGAACTTCATCAAGTGTTTAAGAAAAGAACTGCTGTGCCTATTTATGAATACAAGAATGCAGAAAATACCCGCAGTGATATTTTGACCGAGCAAATTGTTATATTGAGATCGATCAATGCATGACTTGATTCTAAATAAGCTTTTAATGCTTTTAATCCACTTCATAATGCGAGAGGAACAGATTTTAGGTGTGGCAAATCATGGACAATAAAGGGAATCAATGCAGGAAGTAGTTTTAATTGTGCTGCACTTGACAAGTGACAGGGCTTATCCCTGTGTTTGGTGAAGAATTCCTGGTAAAACTGTCAGCAGTTGAAATGTGTTGAGGTTTGTTTTGTCCCGTGCTGTCACTATTAAACGTCGGCAAGCCTTATTTAAATGCTGGGGTTGTATCTATGTGGGTGAAGGGTTGTGGTATCAGTGTTTCTCAAATAGTTTTTATTGGGTGGGTTACACAGCTTTGATGCTCACATAAGCGGCTACTGCTTCAAGGATAGAGCTGTATTTGGTTTCCTTTTTATGTATTATTATTATTATTATTATTATTATTAGATTATTTTTTTAATTCTATCTAATTTTATATGGATGTCCTGATTAATTAGGAAATCCAAAAACTTGAAAAGTAAATCACACTGTAATGCCATAAATTGGCATTTTGGTTATCTTTGGGAATAGTTTGACATTTTGGGAAATACACTGATTCACTTTTTTTTGCTGACTGGCTGCTGGCTATAGCTTCATATTTAACAGACACACGAGTGGTATCATCTTCTCATCTTACTCTGTGCAAGAGAATTAATTGTATTTCCCATATTTAGCCCTTTAAATTGAGAGTGGCAGGGCACTCATATCAGCAACAGCAAAAAGCAGAAAACAACTTGAAAAAGACAGTACAGCAGAGCTAAAGCAGAGGCAGAACATGCCCTGTTTGAAATCATGAAATTGTCTGTTGTTTGTCATCTGCTTGCCGCAGTGGCTTTGCTGACAGGTTTTACTGGTTAGTTCAGTATCGGACCCCGATGTTGTTTGAGACCTGACAGTTCATAAAGATGAGTGACAAGCATCAGACTCTGAACTTGTTCAGCTGAATGTCAGGAGGACAGCAGCAACAGCAGACTGTGTTGACTTGAGGCAAACTGTTTGATGTCGTTGTGTATCTTTAGCAAAGTAATGCATTTCAAGAGCACATCACCATTTTATGAACTTGTTTAATCGTCTCGATTTCAAATAACACTTGACAAAAGGGGGTTTAACATGAGGGAAACAGAACAGGCAGAGTGGGAAGCAGGCATTTGTGCACCTCTGAACTTGTCCGCTTATCCTGACATCACAGGCCACTGTGCAAATATGCCTTCAGGGTCCCAGTTGTTACTCTGTCCTGATGTAGACAATGGTAACCATAGTAAAAGTATTTACTTTCATTCAAACAGGATTCAAATGAGTATCACGCACAAAGCAAATGAATTAACCGCCCCATCTTTGTACTACTGCGAGGAAACGTTTAAAACTCTGATAAGTTAGGAGGGAAAGTGACAATAAAACTTTTGTTGCAGTGCAGAAATGGCATTGCAGTTCGCAGCTGTTTGTGCATGAATATAATCAGACAATTTCCTGGTTGAATGCACACAGAATATTTGAGCATCTTCATTGTTTTGCGCTTTTCCTGTAAATACACGAACATTGCCACTGATTCACCAGATAGAAACTGGTTGGCCGCTGCGTCGTTCTCTTACACTTAACTGAACTGCTGATGAGCTGTTTTGGAGTTTTGCTGTCAGATTTTCGTTTCAACACACCCACTCGTGCGTTTACCTTAGCTTGAACTCTGAGAGGTCTGAAATGTGAATCTGAATACCAAAAAACAGAGCAACACCTCATTTTCAGTCGGGCCATGGCAGCCTCTTCTTCCCCTGCGGCCCTCTGGCTCTAACCTCTCATCTCAGCCCATTGAGACACTTCTGCTGGCTCCCTCCTCCCATCCCCCTCTCAAGCACTTTGTCTCCATGGCGATGTTTTGAATGAAATTTAGGGCAGGAAAGGTTTGGGTTTGGGAACTCCTAGAAACTGCTGCTCTTAGTGTATGTAGGCGAAGACTAAGTGGTATTGATAAATGTCAGTCAAATATGTACAGAAAGGGGAGACTTTGAAGCATTCAGAATTATAACGGATTTCAATTTTCAGTCAAAAATATCATGCTGTGTTGAAGCTGACCAGATTAGCCCCTCCGGAAAAGTAATTGAAAAATGTGCCTCTGCTTTTCTCTTTTGCAGTCAGCGGTTTAGAGACTGTTATCGGCCTGCATGGGGAAACACTCGAGATCCCCTGCAACAATGGAGCCATAAAAGCAGAAGACATCCTAATCACTAAATGGAAATATGTAAGTCACAGTGGAGGTCAATAGATTCAAAATGGGGAAATCTGTCTGACACCCACTTATCATGTCTGAACCACGCCCAGTCTGAGTGCATATGCCGTGCATTAGACCATGCATCTGTCTCTCCATATGACACCGCATGAACAGAGGGTGTGGAGCAGAGCGCTGTGTGCTTTCATTTGAAATGGAAGCCAATGCCATGTGTGACAGACGTGTAACAAGTGCACTCTACTCTGCTCTCCAGGACAAAGGAGAGGGACTTCCAGGAGACCTGCTGGTCAAGCAGAAAAACCAGAATGTCTCAATCAGTGCCACTGATGAATATAAGGGTCGTGTGAGCATGGCTGCAAACTCCAGCCTGCTGCTTTCTGAGGCCAAGTTGACTGACCAGCGGACTTTCACCTGCATGGTGGTGGCTGGTGCAGACATCACAGAATATCCTGTCAATGTTGTGATTTACAGTGAGTACAAGCTGGCATAAATCTAGAATAACTTTCCTTTTTTCAGACTGTGTTAGTGTAAGTGCTAGAATGAAGAAATCACCTACAATAACACTCCGTTCATTAACACGTTTTTTTTTTTTTTTTATGTTGCAGAGGCACCGTCAAACCTGGAAATTTCTGACAAAGCGGAGGAAATAGAGATTGGCAAGCGTACAAAGGTGAGGTTTTTAATGAAAAACATTTCTTATACCTACATTATTTTAGAAAGTAAACCATGAAGGGAAATCCCTCACTTGAGGTATCTTGAGGCATAGCAGAGACCATGTTACTAGAGTAATAAGTTCTTTCAAGTGATTCTCATGAATTAGTAAAGAGCATTTTCCCCCTCCCCTCCTATTGCAATTAAAATACCCAAAGGATATGAGGGGCTTTAGAAATGCTTTGGGCATTTCATGGTCTATTGCCTTGAAAACTACTTGATTCTGAAATTCTGGAGAGGCACCAAAAAAAAGCTAATTCGCTCTGATGTTTGGTCAATTGAAACGACCAAACCAAGAATCAGATTTATTCTAAATACTTGAAATGGTGATTTTTCTATCAATATTTTATTCCTTGAGTGCTGGCTTTTGCTTTTTTCTCATGTTTTTGATTTCTTTGTTCCACAGCTAGGAAAATGTGTTGCACAAGACGCCAATCCAGCTGCAGAAATCACATGGTTAAAGAACAATAAACCTCTGGTGGCTGATGGGAAAGGTATGCATTCTTCATCCTGTTGCATGATTATAAATGCTAACAAAACAGCTCTTTGGAGTGGTTCTGACATTTATAAATATTACATTTACAAATGTATTTATTCTCCCTGACTGGGACCCTTAGTGTAAATTGTTGTTCAGTGATGAATTATGCTGCACTCGCCAACAGTGTGAATGCAGTGTGTTTTGGTCATTACACCATTTTCTTCCTTGTTAGAGTTTTCAGACGGAGTTGTTTTTTTTCTGTCCAGGGATTTTCATTAAAGCCTCGGTGCTGGTAGACCCTGTTACTGGCCTTACGACCACTACCTCTGAACTGGAGTACTCGGCCGAGAAGGAAGACATGGACGCCCAGTTCACCTGCAGCACTCAGCACGCCGTGGGTGCAGAGCTGGTGTCCTCTCCAGTGATCTTCACTATCACCTGTGAGTCACTGAACCCCACTAACAACTTTCACTGGACTCACTTTCTAAACTGCACCAACTGCTGTCTGCAGACAAGCTGTTGTCAGAGTAACTTCTGCACAAAATGAAAGCCTAAAAGCTGGTTGATCAATGAAAATGTAATACTATAGTTTTATATTTAGGAAGTATTTTTTTTATCTCGATTGTTTCATTGTTGTTGTGTTCTTTTTAACTTGTTAGCAGGATATTTCAAAAACCCGCTCACAGACTTGACTCTGAAGTAGATGAGAGTATCAATACCACTCTCATTTCAGTGAAGTAAATATAGAGCTACAGCCAGCAGGTTAGCTTAGCTTAGCATCAAGACTGGAAACTGCTAGCCAGCCAAGAAATAACCCTGTTTAAAACCACAACTTGTCATTTTTACACCATGGTTTCAATGTAATATTTGAATTACTAAGCTTTAGAGGTGTTGATATGCTGATTTTTGTTTTTTTACCTTTGCACAGAGCCGGGCTAGTTGTTTACAGTCTTTATGCTAAGCTAAGCTGACCATCTCCTGCTGTAGCTTCGTATTTAACAGCGAGATGTGAGAGTGGTATCGATCCTTTCATCTAACGCTCAAGCAAGTCTCTAGCTAATAAGAGTATTTACCAAAATGTCGAGCCATTCCTTTTATCAAAGACTTTAACTCAGTCACTTTCGTATGTCCATATATGAAAACAACAAAAATCCAGCCCATGTATCTCATGATTATCTATCACCTTGGGTATTTTTTGGTAGAGATTGAAATCGAGATGCAAACTATAAATTTCTATGTTGTATTCTTAGAAACAGCAAAAAATACAGCAGTGCAGACTTAGAGCAAGTATGTTCTGTATGAATTCATTCCAGTTTTGTTAAAAATATGAAAAATTTAAAAACAACATTGCAGCAAGGGATTTTTCCACTTTTAGAGAATCACTCTGACCATGCTGTTTTCTACCAGGTTTCTGTGTTTAAGAATTTTCTTATCGATATCTGTGCTTTTTTCCCTCATGAGCTTCATCATTTTTTTCACTTGGAAAAATGTTTTTAAAGTATCGAGAGAAGTGTTTTCAGTTTTCAATTCTGAGCTTTAATTATTGAAGTGGTTTCTATTGACTGTAGTGATATTTAATACGACATGGCATGAATCTAAAAATGCAGTCAGACGTAACCTCAGTCTGACTATTTAATTGAAGTTTTTCCAGCATTACATACAGTGTCTCGCTGGGCTTGTCAGGACTTCATCACTCATGACCCACAAGCTCTCACAAAGACCAAGAAAAATTCTTTAAAAACCTCAGACTGTGGCCTCTGTTATTCTTCAGACTATATTAACAATACTTTTGCTTCCAGCGAGGAAAGACAACAGTAACGACACCTTTAATGGTGGCAGTTGAAAAATGAGGTGTGCATCCTGTAGCTCTGTACTGGGGTTCATACTGAACGCAGCCTGAAATATTGAAGTTACCTGCTCAAACTGGCTTTTTAAAGTAGAACTTATCTGTGCTGGAACGTTTTCTTAGAAGAAATGTGGAGTTTGTCTCAGATGGAGCAGAAACATTGAGCTTTGAAAGGATTGTTTGGTTGAATGCCTCAGAATGTGGCTGCAATTCAACCATCTCCTCTGCTGCATTTGGAAGTTGGTCATAACTAATACTGAGGCACAAAGTCACAGCTCTCCGTAGCGTACTGACACAGTCGGTCACTGCAGTCCCCGCTGTGAGCTGTTGGGGGCACATGCTCCACTTAATATACATCCAGTCTCTGACTTTCTATCTCCTATTTTGTGCACAGATTCCACAGAGAACATTGTCCTTCAGGTCATTGCTCAGGACCCTCTAGTAGAAGGAGCCAACATGACTCTGAAGTGTGTGGCAGATGGTAACCCAGCTCCTACCAGCTTTAACTTCCACATTCAGGTACATATGCTGTTCCTTCCATCACGCTTATTACACCTTTCCATCTGAAACGTATTAAGTTATACTAGGCATCCTAAACTAATCACCTGCCGTTTGTATGTCTTTAAAGGGCGAAGTGGTGAAAGTGGAAGACACAGACTCTTACACCATCACAAAGGTCTCACGTGACACCACTGGTGAATACAAATGCTCTCTCATTGACAACCCAACAATGGAAGCATCTAAGGACATCACAGTCAAATGTAAGAAACCAAAACATGTTGTGTTTCTTCAAAAATAGAAATTACTGCAATTTTGCCACACATCTGTCATTGTCACTGTGATTGCCTTTACTGCCTGTAATCGTATTTGTTACTATGAAAGCAGAAAGTGTTTGCTAGAAAAAAGAAAGTCCTAATGTCTCTCTTTTCCAGCCTATACCTGTCTTGCTGTGCTTTGTGGAGAAAAGTGTTGTGTCAACTGCACTGCCTCTAATAAGCTGCTTCTGCAGGGCTGTGAGCCAAGTGCAGGGTTGTGTGGTTAACAACAGGAATGTTTCGACCCTTGTCAGGCCTCTGAACCATCTTTTCACCGTCCTCACCTCTCTTTTTAGACCTAGACATCAATTTAAACCCCTCTGGAAATATCGTCAAGAGTGCCGGTGAGACCTTGGATATAACTCTCCAGATTGATGCTTCCGGAGAATCAAAGGTCTCATGGACAAAGGTAAAAGCAATCTTTTATACAACAAAGCCGAAATAAATTAAGACAAGTTTAGTGGTTGTTATTCACAGTGCTAATATTTTTCCCCTTTTTTTTTAGGATAATCTTAAACTGGACAAAGAGCCCAAGTTTACCAAGGTGACTTACGCGGACTCCGGTCGCTATGAGTGCGAAGTGACAATGGGGCTCCTCAGCCGGAAAGCTTCTTTTGAGCTGGTTGTCGAAGGTAAGGACTTAAAGGAAGCTCGGAGGCTTTGGGTAATATGCTCATTTGCTTTGTTGCTGAGAGTTAGACAAAAAGATCAACAGCACTCTCATGTCCATACAGCAAATAGGAAGCTACAGCCTGCAGCTAACCCTAACCTACCTAAAAACTACCCCTAACATTCACAAATTAACATATTGTTTCATGTTGATTGTTAATTAAGGTTGTAAGGTTTCTGCTGTGCGGCAGATTTTCTCAGTTAGACTAGCTGGTTCCTGTCTTTATGCTAAGCTTAACTAATTGGCTGCTGGCTGTAGCTCCATATTTCCTGTACAGACTTGTGAGTGGTATGTATTTTCTCTTCTGACCCTCAGCAAGAGGTAAGTGAATAAGGGGATTTCTTAAAATGTCAAACTATTTCTTTAAGCAAAGATTTTCCATAGTGACTGTGGGTGTGTTCGTGAATGAAAAGCAGCCATGATAAAACCATTTTCTCATTCAGATGTATCTGAAGAGTTACGTCCTGTTGCAGGTGCTCCAGTTATCAGGCAGCTATCCAAACAGCGCGGTGAAGACGGCAAACATGAAGTCTTGATTTGTGAAGCTGAAGGTTCTCCAAAACCATCTGTTTCCTGGAGCATCAATGGCACCTCGGTATGCACACTCGCACTCTACACTACAGCATTAGCCTTTATCGTAATTACATTTAAGTCTTCCACTGATAATTGTTACTATCTCTGAAGGTCATATCTATCAATTTATTTATAACTGCACCTACATTTATTCATTGTAATTGCAGGAGGTTTTTATTTTTTCATGAACACTCAGCTCCCTTTGTGCCAGCGCACAGAAAATTATTTTTATTCCTCTAGGCTTTAAGAAACCCCGAAAGGAAACATGCTGTATTATTAACACTAACAAATACAGTAGTAAATGTAAATGTAGTAGTTCTTCTGCTTATTGTCACACGGGAACTAAATGGGAAAATATTATATGTAGTTTGTACGTAAGGATACAAGCTCAAATGTGTGAATTTAAAACCATCTATTCATCAATGGTCTGTTTTGTAACGTGCTAAGATGTTTGGGTTGCAATACTGGAGGTTGGAGGTATCAAACAGCATCTAGGCTTCACAAGATTCTGTGATATCCCCAATGCAGTTACACGCAGGACTTTCCAGATTGATACACGCAGTTAACAAAATCGAATTCAGTGCAAGGCTGAATGCAAACTGTCCAGTGTACTCGGAGTAAGTTTGTTTATGATGTCCATGGAATTGCATTCGAGTTTTAGTGGGAGCAGATGCAGCATACAATCATGAAGCAGTGGGTAAAAACAAGCATAGTGTAGGCACTTGATATCTTGACCAGTTTTAGGACAATGATGTATTGGCGGAGCTATGAGGGAGGGTGTAGGACAGTTACGCAACTTTGATATGCTAGCCTGCGCACACTGTGGTGACTGAATGCAAATTCATGTTAGGTGTTCACTGCCATTGTGAACAGTTCATGCCATATTTCCCCATTTTTTGCAAAGGGGTATTGTTCACAAGCCCATTTAAAAGTTATTGTCTTCATTTGGAAACACCCATGGTTACCGTGGTAATATTAAATGTGGTTTAATACTACAGCAAACACCTCTTGAGCAGCTCCTTTGTCAGAAATAACAGGAGATCAATTACGGCGCAACCAAGCAAACTTGTGTTGTTTTGATGAAGAAGTCGAGTCCTATGAATCCCTTGTGTGTAGGACTAAAAACTACTAAGTGGTCATTAATATACAAGGGCTATTGCTGAATAAAATGCAGAAAATCTCAACAATTATACCTTTAAAAGTGAAATCCGCATTGTTTCACGTGCTACAGCAAAAAATGGCTGTGGACGGTTGTCTTGGTCGTAGAAGCTTGCTCTTAGCTTGAATCAGTCATTGTGAAACTTGCAAAATGTGCCAGCATGGTTGACACTGCTGGGCTTATGGCTCATTTTGATAACTGAACCACAGAATTTATTGTCAGCGTCATCTAGCAGCTGCAACGCATCAAGATGGATATCAGCTTTTACAAGTAACCACACATACTGGTTATTCTTCAGATCCTTCCCTTGCCACTTACAAACACACTCATGGGTGACAGATACACATCATGCTATAAATGAAAGCAGTCATTGTTTCGCTGATAAATCAACTAGTTTTCACAGAAATTCATGAACCATGGTCTTCTTATGTAAGATGGGAGATAGCAGATTTTTCCGGCAGTAACAATTGCAAAGACATCTTTAGTCAGCAGCATCTGAATGTTGTCAACACAGTAGCCAAGACATATTGTAGATTCTGTCTATCTGCAGAAGGTGAATGGGACACTGGGATACACTTAAGGGTTATATTCAGTTTGGTTCATCAAACTACTTCTGAAATAACATCAGCAGAGATGGGAAAGTGTGACTAAACAGATGCAGTCTGTTTAAGCCTCCTCCTCTTAGACAAAGCAAAACAGTCCAGGGTTTGCCAGCATCCTGGTCCTGAGACAGCTCTTGCTTTGCTTTTGCCACTCACCCTGTACTGCAGAGTGAGTGAATACTCCCTGTTATGTGCATAGCAGTTTGCACTGTTAGTATTTTCCCCAGCTGTCACACTTTTGAACTTATCTAGTCCAAACATTTCTTGGCGGTTGAGTAAATTTCTTCATTTTCTCACAGGCTCAAAAACAGTATTTTGCAGCAAACTGTCATGAAGACAATTTGTTTTAAATGGGCCTTTTTTCTCTTTTGTTTCTGTGGCGTACCTGTGTGCACACTGATAGCAGACCCACTCAATGAAGCAGTCTGAATTGCATATGAACCTGAGGGTGTCTGTATGATGTTTTCAATTCTTTTCAGCCCTTTCAGTCAATGCCTCACCTAAAAAATAACCTCACAACCTGAACCTGTGTGCAATAATTAATCAGTTACAAAGGTGCACAGAACTCTTTCACTGAAGGACAATGCATTTTAGAGATAACACACGTTTTCTACATTTCAGTCAAAGTTTATGTTTTTCTCCTCTCTCGTCCCAACATTTAAAGCCTATTCAGAGAGAATAATGTACGGCTTGAATGCAGACTCAGAAATGGGTATTTACAAAATGTCTACATCCGCTTGTATATGTAGGGGATGTGAAAAGGGTGTTGGCAGTTTGTCTTTGTGTCTGAGGTTCTCCTCTGAGACTCAAGTGTCTATATCCCAGAGGCTCACATGCTGTGTCTTTGTCATGGAAAGGCTGAGTCACATTACAATCCAACGTCCCCCCCTAGTGGTACAAAATATTCCACTTCTTATGTGCCGTTGCAGGTTTATAAATCCTACAGTGTCAGATATGTAAATACTAACATTTGTGGGTTTTCTTCTCTGATTGTTCAGCTTGATGAGAGTCCCTTCGTCAACGGAAAGATAACACACAAGATCGCAGTTGTGCCTACTGCAAATCTGACTGTCTCTTGTACAGTGTCCAATGACTTTGGCGTGGACACCAAAAATATAAGTGTGTCATCCCGTAAGTACAAAGTGGTAATATAGTCCCTTGTCTCTCTCCGCTTCCTATTTTTCCTAAAAGCCTAACTCTGCTGTTGTGGATGTTTTTTTTCTGCTCTTGCTCACTCACTCTTTCTGTCTGCATGTTGACTTTACATAATGTTGAGATGCTTAAGTAAAACTATAGTCATTCAGCAGGTATGTACATGAGGGTAAAAACACCTAAATTAGGATTTTGTAATCTGTAGCTAAAAAAATCACATTATTTTGGGTTCATATATACCTTTTTGATATGCTTTTGGCAGAATGTAACAATCAGTTTACTTAAGTGCCAAATTTTAGTCCATAGTAGGGAAAGATAAGTAGTAAGAGATGAGAAGAAAACACGATTTATCAATTAGAAGCAAAAATAAATGCTGCCTTTGAGGTTTTTATCAGATTTTGTAATATTGGTGGTTTGGTTTTTGATCATCTTTTTCACTAAATCACTGCAAATACCTAACCGATGCATGCACTTAGCACTTTGTACACACTGTAGTCCAAAACCGTGCAGTGTTAATCATTCCTTGCTCTCTCTTGCTTACTCATTCCTGCGTGTTTGAGACAGCATTTCACCTCTCTTTTCCCCCCTCGCTCAGTGTGTGTATGTTGGGATGCTGGATTTAATCTGTTTCCTCTTTGAACTACCTGCATGCAAAAGTAGAATAGAAGTAGAGTAGTGATTTTTCTGAACATCAAGCTTGTTTATTCTTTTCTTCTTTTGGTTGGACGTTAATTTTATTTTATATCTGATTTCAGTATTTGAGGATGTGAGAGTGGATAAACAAGGTAAGTTGTAGCAGTCTTCTTGCTTGTAAGAAACGGTGGGGGGAGGGGGGTGAGTAAAGACTATTGGGGAATCAAATGTTCTTTACTGAAAGAAGGATCTTGATAAAATATTTACCTTTATCATCACCTTGGACTCTACGGCTGGAAAATTAATCTTTGGACAGTTTGTTTCCATTAATAAAACACAGATATGAAGGAATAAGAGGAATGGAGCTACCAGCATCCTGACAAAATGTCAACATTGCCCATAATCCCATTGGCTTATGAAATGATTCATAAACTAATAGTATCTGTCATTAACATTTAACTTGATGAGTCATAACCATGTGCAGTGCGGATGTGTCCACTCATCAATGCTTTTATTGCACATACGACTTTTTCCCCCTTCCCTTTATTCATATGCACTGAGGCTGGGGTTTCATACTGCAAAGTGTCTCCTAGGTCTCTGATGTTTCTGTTTTGTCATTGTTACAGACCAATTAGAGGATAGTGACCAAACCAAGTTGGTGGTTGGAGTTGTAGTCGGCCTCCTCGTCGCAACTCTTGTTATAGGCCTGGCATACTGGGTCTACATGAAGAAATCCAAGTAAGAAATGATCCTAATCTTAATAAAATGATTGAATTTACGTATTCATTTCCCCCCCAGGGGTCGTGCAGTGTTGCCCAGTGAACTTACATGGCCTCTTTTTTGTCAGTAGCTTTCTCACATAATCGTATATTAACAGTTGCACAGCTTTTATTTAGACTTAGTTTATTCTTACTTTTTAAAATTATTTTTTAGAGGTGCAGAACAAATCCTGCTTTATTGTCTGATTAATTTACGTACATGGTTTAAATATTATGTTGCAAATGTTATTTTGTGGGTAGCTAAACTGATACATGTATGTAAAAGGAGTATTCTTTTTTTTATTATATAACAGATACAGATAGTAACTTTGCGATATACTCGTAGTGCATACCCAGTTCCTACCAAGTTCCCATCAAATACCCATTGAGTGCACAGCAAAATATTACATCTCAGCTTCATTATGTACCCAGAGAGGAGTAATTTAGTAATATTATCCATGTGAGTATGATAAAAACTAATGAACTGAAAACTATATTTTCATACAGCAATTAAAGGAATAGTTCAACATTTAGGGAAATATGCGTATTAGCTTTCTAGCCAAGAGCAGATCGATATTCATTCTCAAGTATATACATTAGATATTAAGATGAGGCCAGGAGGTGGTTAGCCTAGCTTAGCATAAAGCCTGGAAACAGAAGGAAACAACTAAGTACTAAGCAATAATCAAACAAACAAAACAAAATGAACAGATTAAACAAACAATATGAAATGTGTTAATTGGTGAGTTTAAGAGGCAGATTTCTGTTACATTTGTGATCTAGGTTTTTCTCCCTGCTTTCAGTCTTGATACTAAGCTAAGCTAATTGGCTGCTTGCTCGTGCTTCATATTTGACAGACATAGACATAAGAGTGGTATTGATCTTCTCTTCTAGCTTTTGAATCTTCCTTTAATTGAATTAATAAAAAATCAAACTACCTCATTGAATCTGGGGCTTTTAAGTACGCTTGGGGATTTGGTGTAGTATCCCGTTTTGCTCACCTGGTAATCAATCTTGCAATTGATCATGAACACATAACTAGTAAGTTTATATTAATAGCACAGAGATGTACGCAGCTTCCATTTAATGTAAACAGTTTGTTTTTTCATACTGACTGAAGTGAAGGATTATCAGCATGTTAACAGTGTTTTCTTCTAAACAGGCAAGGAAGCTGGAAGACTGGTGAAAAGGAGAACGGGTCTTCTGAGGAGGAGAAAAAGCTGGAGGAGAAAGTGGAGGAGAACAGCCAAAAAGCTGAGGTGTAAAGAAACCGCAACCATCCTTTTGGGAATGTGAAAGGTAAAAAAACAAAACATTCTCATTTTATGTGTAAATAAGGATGAATAAAATCATCATCTTTTAAATAACACTGTTTTTATTGAATATCTTCTTTTCAGTGAGAACATGGAACTTTTGCACATTTCTCTCCACCTCTGTCTTTGGAAATGAAAAATTGAGTGTACATTGGGATGAAGACGGTTTGGATTTGGTTTCAGGGAGAATTTTACTAAAAAGCATATCCAAACACCCCTCCCCCCCACCCCACTCCGAGACCCTCATACCCTCATACCCTCACCCCTCCATTCCTAAAAAAAAAAAAAGAATGGATACTGTATGTGATATACATAACTTGTCTGCACTACTGATACATGTGTAAACTTGTCTACTATTAGGATTCATGTTTGTTAGAATGGAATTTGGGAAAACCTGAGAAAATGCAGATTCATTTTGGTTTTGTTAGTTGATTCAAGTAAAATTACTACTAGACCAGTTGCCTTTGCTGTAGGGATGTGTAGGCCTGCATTAGTCTGTGTTTTGACTCTTTGGCCCTCAGAAACATAGCAGGAAACGAGGGACAACACCGCCATCGCTTCTTAGTTTAATATCATCACAGTCAAAACAACCTTCTGCCTTCAACATCGTGGTACTAAATCTGTTTATTTGTGCATTTGTTTCAGTTTATTCATTCAGGTGTAAAAAGATGTTGAAATTGAGATGAACTTCCTGAAAGGGCTAAGGGTATATTGTCATACTCGGCGTTAGTTGTAGATGATAATATGATTTGTGTTATGTTGCATTGCAGGAAGTAGGTGATGTGCCAGAGTTCTTTGGTTGTACATGATTTTTTTAATTTTCTGTTCTTGATGTGTACCTCTTTGCAAAGTAAGCGGGAGAGAAAATGACAGAAACTCATTTTGCCAGTCTCTTTTTTCAGATGAACTGTACATTTAACATAACCACTGACGACACAGGCAGGTAGATTATTGAGAGAATGTATAGCGTAACTCAACTCATTTTTACTGGCTTTGGTTTGGCTGTGCAGATTGTTTAACACAAAGCCATTGTTTGCTTTCATTTAATTCAAGAAAATGTCCTTGAGCCTAAAAGGGTTTTTTTTTTTTTTTTTGATTGATCTGTCAAGGCTGTAAGTGAATTCAAAATTTTTGCTCCATCAGTGTTGAGGTATGATTGTTAACTGTGTAGCTATGGAATTATTTTGTAATCGAAAACACAGCGGGGACACGATGTTTGCCTCAAAGTAGCCGTTATGATATGTTTGCCTTCTTTTGAAAATCTACCTGTGATTGCTTCAGTTTGTGATGTGCACTAGGATTCATGTTTTCATGTCACATTTGTGTAGAATACAATGGAAAACACGCAGCTGTACATGTCACAATTTTGGTCCTTTGAGAACATTTGCTAAATTTGAACATATATCAAGACCAGGATGTAATTGTGAAGTATGTGGTTTTAATTTTCTTTTTGCTATTTATATTGTACAAGATAAACCTGGCAGGCAAATTCAATAATTGTCACATAATTCATAACTTGGATTTAAGTCGTTGATAAAATTGCTTGCAGACTTAACAAAAATGTAATTAAGTTCTGAGTCATCAGTAGGTTGCTCAGCGTCTGGTTGAATATAGATTCAGCATGTGATAATCTCAGACCTCCAAGCTGCTGTTTGTTGCCTACCTTGTTAAAAACCATCCAATTGGAAGAATGACCAAAGAAAGTGAACATTGCCATGCAAGTATTGTAAATACCTGATGTTTGTTTTTGTACTTTTGTTTAAAATAAAGTGTACATTTGGAAAAGTTATGTCCACTGAATATTAATTATTGTTGTCACAGTTTTCATCTGATCATCTTTTGAAATAAAGATGGATTTTATACATGCAGAGAATGTCTGGGATGATGGCGTAGAATGACTGTGTGATGACTATAGTTGTACAGTAATTGTACAAAACTAACAATATTGTTGAAAATAACCTGCTGTTATGAAGCATTATGTCAAAATTCTAACCTCTGTGCAGAAAACTGATCAGGATTCTGCATTATTACTGCACCATATATGCTAGACTACTATATCAGGATACCATCTTATAGAAATGGGTTCCTGAACAAGAAACCTGGAAGCCTGACTGTTTCTGAAACTAGCGGGCAAGACGTCACATTTCAAAGAAGGAAACCGTGACCTAAATAGGCTTGAATATCCGTGTGTGACCACAAACACCTTGGAAACAGATGGATCAACGGGATTTGCATCAACCGCTTGTGAACTTTCAGAACCATGTATGCCTTTTTACCATTAGTGGAAAGTTATTACATTACTCAGGTACTGTATTTAAGTACAGTTTTTAGGTACTTGTACTTTACTTTTCATTTACTGCCACTATATTCCTTTACTGCACCACATTTCAGAGGGAAATATTGTATTTTTTACTACACTACATTAATGTCGCAGTTATAGTTACTAGTTAGCTCTGGTCAAGATTTCATATTCAAAATATACGATCAACAAATAAGATATGATGCATTTTTATAGTGTAAATTATCCAAAAGGATATAAAATAGTTAATATTAGCTCTGCCTCCAACAGGTGCAACATCAAAATGCTGCTTAAATGTTAATGCATCAATAATGATAATCCAATAATTCAATGCATACAGTATATAGAATAATATAACATAGCAATACAACACTTCTGTACTTTAGATAGATAGCAGATTTACACTGTGGTACTACTACTTACTTCCACCACTACCGTTAACTGAGAATACTAATCTCTGAAATCTATTTTGACTCAGTATGGCGTCTCTGCATTATGTTATGTTGATGGAAACACCATTAAATCCACCGAACAGCCCACAGATGGAATTGGAAAAGGTCTGTGAGCACATTCATGAGCAGAAAAGGCAGAAATATTTGATCTGCTTTTGAAGGCCACAAGGACATGGCAGATGCCATTAATGCAAAAGACATGCTGAACAGCTGATTTAAAAAATATTTTTCTACTTTAACTAGACACATAAATGTACTTCACACAACCTAAAAACACACTGTTTGATAATCACATAAAATGCAAGATTATCCTTAGTTCAGTGTCCCTAGTGGTTCCACTCTCTTGGCCCTGTGAGAGATACTGCATATGATTAGTCATTACCTTTAACCGTTTAGGCATCATGGACGTCATCACCAGATGGCCTGCATAATGCCAAACAAAATGAGCTTCTGCTGCCATCCTGTGGTTAAACAATATACTGTAATGGGCTGTGTTGGAATCAGGGAAAAATCTGGGTTTTTTTTCTGGGAACAGAGACTGTAGTCACATAGCTGATGTCTGAGAGCATAAGCTACACAGTGGTCTTTTATTTGAAGTTTTAGAATGTGGGGATAAATCTGATTAAGGATCAGAGCTTTATTTAGATTGGAAAAACACCAAACTTTCATACAAAAAGCTGTGTGCTATTTGCTTAACAGTATCGGTCACTGGTGACAGCTTTCTCTCCTGTCTCGTTTGTATAAGTCAAACAGAAAGGAACCCTTTATTTCACACGTTATGGGACAATTCTTGTAACATTTAAACTACAATTTTAATCACATGTGTCCGTTGATTATAGACAATTAGAATCTCAACAGTCTGGTTTATGCTCAAATGGTGACAGTACGTGCATCTCTACATTTTTAGATAATTACATAGTTACAACAGTATTTGGTAACAACAACTTTATGTGCATAGACTACAGTTTATAGAGAATTTATAACATTTCAACTGTTTCTGTTTGTCTGTAGATGTTTAGCAGATTATATGTGACAATTGCGCCTAAACCTAACCTAACCAAAACCAAAACACAGTGGTGTAACATCAGAAAACAATTATTGTTGAATCTCAACTTAAAAGCTGTTAAAATGTTACAAATATTCTTTATCGTTATGAAAACTATCTGTAGGCGGACTATCCAAATAAGGTGTTACCTATAGAATTTCATGAACTTGGAACACAGTAATCACTAAATAACAATTTTGTGATCATGTCACACAACAAACTATTAAAGTGATTACACACACGAGCTCTCAGGCCCTCCATAACCATACTGTTTGTCTAGGGCTACATTGGGGATTAAAAAAATATATTTGAAAACCCCCTTCTCTCAATGTAAAGATCACTTTGAACATGATATTCTAAGTGCTTTCATTGTTTTACTTTGGGTGCATGTGCTTTGAACATTAGGTGCGGTTCGACAGTAGTCATGTATTTGTCTTGCAAAACATTGTTTTCTGTTGCTTCACGTGCATTAGGGTCTGTGTGATGATTGCTGAGGTTTGTGTGTTGTGGTTGAATGCTGTGATGTGATGCAGACACAGATGTTGTTGTGGGCTACAAGTAACATTTTTTGGTCAATCGCTCACTAATACACTCACTCAAAGACACTCAGATGTGACTCTATAGTGACTCTATAGTGTTGGGTTATAAAGTAAAAACGATACAGTAAGGCCAGTAATGACATAGTAGATATAAGTCTTACGAAGCCTGCGTTTCACTTGCAGTTAGATAAGCTTTTAGTGTTGTTAAATGGCCAATATGTCTAACCTGAATAAAAACTATTTCATCCCTCTATCAGTGGATCTGCTAAAGACAAAGGGTGTGAAATGAGGGGTTGTGTTGCATGTATTTGTATTGTATGTGGCAGCCTGTCCAAATTTCCTATGGGGATCAATAAAGTAATCTTGAATGTTTTGTTTTTTTTTTTTTAGAAGAAGAAGAAGAAGTGAAACTTTCATGTAAAAAATTCCTGGCTGAAAAGTGTTGAGAAGTTACTGGAGAAATCATCTTGGTGAAGTTTTCCTTTCAGCTAATGTATTGGCTCTCTCTTGTAAACCTGAGCAGTAACACCAAGGGGGATAGAAATGATTCAACTTTTAAGAAAAAAAAAAAGATGTTGTAATATTGTCATGGAAAAAGGCCATTAAAGCAGTTCATATTGTATGTTTAAAAAAAGGCTTAGTTGGATGTGTTTGTTGTCTGGTTGGTAAAGAAAAGGAGGAAAAATCCGAAGGGAAAATCAAAAGAAAAGCTATAAAAAAAGACAGGAGTGACATATAGGAAAATTGCAAAAAATTAAGGATGACAAGTTTGCCATGCAGGACAGTTTGCCTACATTTAACCATAAGTAGGGTGATATTTCTCTGATGCAGATTTTCCATATATGTTTTACAAAAAGTTTCATAAATATTCAGATGTTATGAAACTTTCCAGTGGTGTACAAGTACAACAAGTACTAAACTTAAGTACATATTTACTACTACTTTTGGTACTATAAATGATGACGTAATATTGCGCAGGTTAAGATACAGCATGATAAATGGGAAAATTCACAAGCTACAGCAGCATATAATGAGCCCCACCTTTAATAGCTGCAACATCAATCAATAATTAAGTAATATCAATCATATATGCATTATTGTGAAATGGTTCTGCATAATGAGAGCTTTTACTATTAGTATGTTTTTATGCTTATTTCTGTACTTTTAAAAAGTAACAATTTGAATGCTGTACCTTTACTTCTAACAGAGTATTTCTACTCTGGAGTTTTGTGACTTAAATAAATCTGAGGACTTGCTCCACAGGGCCAGTGGCATCCACATCAGTGTTGAACTCAGTCAGTAATGAACTTCTGCACTGGACAGTCACTATTTAGGCATGGCAGTGGTTAGTACTGGTGCAAAGTCAGAGGAGATACAGGTTAAGTGAATTGTTAATAGAGACACACGTGGCCACAAACCTTCTCTAGGACTTACTGCAAGCCAACAGGTAAGAAACCTTGGTGTCATCTTTAACTCAGAAGTAAACTTCAGGGCTCATATGGGGTATTGTCACTAAATCTGCTTTTTATCATCTCAAAACTACAGCTAAAGTGCGGCCATTTCTGTCCCTTAGCTACACAGAGAGAGTAATGTATATTTTTATATCCAGCAGGCCCGACAAGTGCAACACTCTCCTATCTGGTCTACCCAAAAAAGTCATAAATCAGTTACAATTGATTCCGAACTTCTGCTGCCTGAGTGCTGATTAGGACCAGAGGGAGAGAACGCATTAAACCTAGTTTAAAGTCCTTACTTTGGTTGCTTGTCAGTTTTTGTATTGATTTAAAAATGATTTTACTTGTCTTTAAAACACTTCATGGTCTTGCACCAGCCTATTGGTCGGACATGCAACGTATGAACCAGGATGGGCCCTCAGGTCCTTTGAGTCTTTTAGTTGCCCTAAAGTGCCGGACAAAAACTTCTGGTGAGGCAGCTTTTAGTTTTTATGCTCCTATCTTTGAATGTAAACACACAACCTGCCTAACCTGTCTTTGAATGTTTCATGGCCATTATTTATTTCTAAATAATTCTGTACTTTATTGTTTTATTTTAAAAAGTCTTAATCTTCTATTTTATTTGTGATAGTGTTTATTTAAATTATTTTTTCTCCATTTTATTGGTTTTATTATTACATTTGCATTATTTTTATTTCTTGTGTGCACTATTCTTAAATAGTTTTGGCTGTAAAACATTTTGAATTGCACTATTCTGTATGGAGGAAGCTATACAAATAAAGTTTGATTGAATGGTTAATTGATATAATAACTTTAAATGAAGTAAAGCCATGTGACTTGCCAACACAAAGGAAATGGCTGTGTTTATTGGTAGCATCTGCCCTTATGAAGAAATATAAAAGAACAAACCCCATGGGAATAACCGGAATATGGTATTCATACAGTTAATCATGTGAAATGTTTATCTGAGTTGGTTTCCCTGCACCACTTGATGACATGA